AGGTCAGGCTGGATAACCACAAACGCGGCGGATAATACCCATTGCGTCGTTATTGTACTGTCTGTTCTGAGCGCCGGATCGGTGTAGCCGGTCCTTTGTGCGTCGCTCGTGGGCGACGGAGCGTGTCCGAGTGACTTCAGCTGGCGCTCAGGTGACTCAGCTGACTACCGGGGCAGGTGACGTCACAGGTGTCCGACGTCCGTGCAGCGGGCTGTCTGTGACGCCGAGGGTCGGTCGGTCTGTGGCATAGCGTGCACTGCGGGCTGCATGGGTCTGCACCCAGGCTATGAGTCTCGTGGGATAACCTGTGCAATTCAATCTGGGATATCATGCAGACGTAATGGACACTATAGCTCTTGAGGAGTGGATTTGGTGTGACTGCGCACGCGTTTAGTCTGGCAAAATATTCCCGGACCTCTCTGGGATCCACCCGAGTTGAGCCGCTCCACCCGCACCGTGACGGTGCCGCTCCGGTCGCAGCGGGCCGCCTCGTCGCGGGCCTCGGCTCTCAGACTGCACTGAGCTGCACGATCTGACCTCTCGAAATCTGAGGCGTAAATCTCACTCGGCCAGATAGGTGTGCACGCGCCGGAGCGGCGCCAGTGCGGCGCCAGTAGGCCTCCGAGCTGGCCGGCAGTAGGGTCCCGAGGGAGACGGCAGCTTATTTCCATTTTATGTCTAATAAATGTGTTTTGTTGTTGTTGTTGTAGCGCCACCTGCCTGGGTCCGAGGCCGTGCCACCACTGTTACCCGAGGTCGACTGGTAAAGGATGCTGCTTTGTGCGTGCTGTTGTCCTCATTTTGGATTCGTCTCTGAGAACATGTATGTTTTATACCGTCCCTGACTCCTGAGTTATTTTCCTATCTCCTTACCGATAATTACAAAGCGAAAATCGATAGTTCCGTCTCTAATGTCTGTTCCCCTTTCTGCCCGCCGTTCAATCTCCCCTCCACGCTTCCGTCCAGCTCTCCTCCCCGTCCCGCTGACCGACAGCCAGCCACCCCCCGTCCCTCTCCGCCGGGTGGGCGGTGCTGGCCGACGGGCCGCGCCGCCGCCGACACCGCCGCTCCGGGGACGGGTAATGACTTGGCATGGCGTCGGCCTCGTCAGCCCGGCGCCGCTCGGCCGGCCGCCCGGCGACCTCCGGTGACCCGGACACAGAGCGAACTGACCGGGCCAGCGTCGGCGAACGCGCCTCCCCGGCCCGTGTGTGCACGCTGCACAGAGCATTCTGTGCACGGTGACGTCACGCCGGCGCCGGACAGTCGGGTCTGGAGCGGTGGTTAGAGGCCAGGTTATCTTGTGGAGAGTGATGATGGTCTGTGTTTTGGGCGGTGAGGTGCGCCGGTTGCGCTGGTGGGTGACCTGGGTGTGAGGTTTGTCCGGGGCCGCGACCTGACCCACTGTCTGATAAACACAGCCGGCAGTGTTGCGAGTCTCTCAGGCATCAACAATGCTGTGGTGATTCATTCCAGACTGAATCGTTGGATCTGCATGCGCTGTTTCCCACACGCGAGGTTTGCTGCAGGTTCTGATATATTCCATAGCACCGTTTCTGGCTGAGCGCGGCGAGGAAGCGCTCGTTGCCCTGAGTACCCATCAGGTGGCCCGCGCCTGGCCGCCGCTCAAACCGGACACAACTTTTCCTGATATAGACCAGAAGCCATCTCATCTGCAGCCCGGCTGCACTCAACAAGTCGACAGAACTCTGACGGGGACGGCCGCGCCGCCAGAGCCGCTCTTTACCGCTCGCCGATCAAGTACCGCTTCGACGAATCAATTCACACGGAGAGCGTAACTAGCGAGAAAGTTGCATGACCGGCTCCCGGTATACTCAACATGGGCCAAGTTTAGGACGGGATTTTCTATCCGTGATGACCTTTGCAGCGGTACGGTGCAAAGTTGCCTCGTTGTGCGGATGAGCACCTCGATGAGGGACGGTGGAGGCGCAGGGCGGTGGATGGCGGTCTGACATGCCGATGGAGGGTGTCGTTTTGGCCCTGGTCGCAGGTGTCTCAGAGCGCCGGCGTCACTCTGATGTCGCAGCTGTCTGCCTGAGTGCGCTGCGCTGGCAGCTCGGATGTGGGCCGTTTTGACAGGCTCGCAGAGGCGCCAGCGGGGACGAGCCAAAATGACTGATGTGCCTCAGCCGTGACTTTTTGGCAGGTGATCGTCCTTGTGTCGCTATCATGCTGGCAGTATATTCGCGTCATCTGTCCGTTTTCAGATGTGTGCTCTTTGTGTTGGCTTGAATTTGATGAGTTACAAAGGTCTCGTTCTCTGTCATAAGCATTCAGCACTGTCACAGCTAGGCCGACGTCAAAATGTCAGAGTTCCACCGTCGTATCCACCCGACTTTAGTAACATCACAAATGTCACTGTTCGTAAACCACGATTCATTTTTTTTTCGGAATCTCACATGGTCAATCCATTCCATCTCCCTTTCGTCGTTTCTCCCTGCGCCTCCTCCTGGGACTATCATCAGTTCCTCGCCGCGGACCAGCCGCCTGTCCCCGAGATCGGTGCTGTCTGGGGTGCGCTGTTTTCGCCCTATCCCTCCCGGCGTCACCGTCGTTCTGGCTAACGGCCAGCTGGCAGCCACGCACGGGCGTACCCGGGGAGATTTGTCTGTAATGACACCGGCGACGGCGACGGAAGGCGGAGGCGGCGACGAGGAAAGCGGCCGTGGTGGTGGGGGTGACGGTCTATGCTGGAGCGATTGTACAATGCATAGGTACGATGGACCGCACTGCAGTACTGAGAGCGATGGTAAAGTTATTGCGCTGGGCGTTGGCAGCCGCGAGGTTTGAGCTATTGTGATATGGCGGCGCTGGCAGGTGCCGCGAGGTCCCCTGGACTAACTATACCATTACCAGAGGCTGGGCGAAATCAGGACATTACCAACCATCGTCCGGCCTCGCCACAGTCCATCAGTGGTCGCCATCAGCCGCCGCAGCGTACATCATACATTATCGGACACTGCAGTGGCCCGGGCGTCGCCGCCAGGCACGGGCGTTCCCTCTCCCGCCCCCGCCCCCTGCCGGCCCGGGCAGGACCATCGCAATGCACTCTACCCGCCCATTCATCACTGACTCTCGGGCCGGCCGGTCAGCCGGCTGCCAAGACCCGTGTTAATGGCACCAGTGACCCGAGCCGTGCTTAATCCCGCACGGTGCGCCGGCCGCGGAAACAGCCGCTCTTATGAGACCCGGCGCGAATTGATTTTGCACTCATGTGAAGGTCACGGTTCGATCGGGATCAGCGCGGCCGTAAACCGGGGCATGTCGCTGACGGTGGTATAGACGCTGACCTGGTAAGCTCCTTACATAACGTGCTCCGGAAGGGTATTGAGGCGGTCGCCGACTTCACTAACTGTAAATAGTCTGTGCACTGTGCAGATCAGTCGTGACAAGACGGACACCACTTGAACTGACGTTCAAACTAGTGGTGTTTGGAGTAGGTGAAATAGATGGTTCACAGGAAGTGTTTATTTTTATATTAGAAATAAAAAATGAAAACTCAGTTATGTGAAGCTTGCCACCAACCTCCACCGACAATTAAATCTACTGGTTCTACGGATTCATCTACTCATAAATATCAAAAAGGCCGAATGTCTCCATTACCTTTTTGTAACACTCAAGTAAATCACCTCTCCTTAGGTGTAACTATCAGGTACACCAATCCAAGGTAATGGCATTCCACTCGCTATGGGTGGTAGCACAACTTGGCGTGTCCAAAGTCACTTCCATTCATTCGCCGGTCCATTTCGCTGTCGTGAACTGCGTCGGTTTCCCGTGTTTCCTTTGCTTCAGTCATCAGGGTCATTGGGTCCAAATGTATCACTATACGATGTCCTGACAACACTATCATCGCGACGTTGAACCGACTCGTTACGTTAGCGTATGTGCTGTAAGGAAAATGATCTACGAACATTGTTTTTTTGCACTTCCAGTGAAGGGTTATTAAATGGCATTTTGATTTTCGGTGATATTTAACTGAGTTCCATGTATAGAGATAAGCGAGGTATCAGCCTGAATTCTCGTAAAAGGGCTATATGAAGCGCGGCGCACGCTTGAAACATTGAATCATTTCATTCATGGCTTCATTTCACTCTATTGCTAAGAAGTTTTAGCTTGACCGCAGACCGTAGCACATGACCGCAGCGTGACATCCTCCATCATCTGATTGACCACAGCATGACCTCGCTCACCACCCTCCCAATGCACCGATCATATCGGTTTGGTCCAACTGGTCGGAGCTCTATGCAGAGCGGTCCGTAAAGGTCATACCCCGAGTCCCAGACCACAGCTGTTGGACAGGTCTGTCAGCTGCAGACCTGTCGGGCATTTCTGTCTACCGGCCGTGTCTGTATAATAGCCGCCCCTCCCCTTCATGCGGTCTCTGCAATCCCGAGCGCCGAGCCGACCGTGCTTGCCGTCTCTGTACCCCCCTACTGGGGAGGGGAGGCGATGTGTGGGGGCGGCAGATAATCCCGTGCAGTAGCGGTCAACAAGGACAACTGAACGGCGACGGTACTGGTCACCGCTCCCGGATCTAGGGGGGGGGTAGTACCTGCTGGGAGGGGGGGGGGGTCTCACAACGGCCACGCCCATCGGTAGCCAGGCGATATTTTGGCAATAAATGGTCTGAGATTGTCCACGATGATTGACGGTGTGAACTGTGCTTTTGGGAGGTACGGTCGTGACGATGGACGGGCTAATTAATAATTAATTAATTCAAAGACAGTGTCGGCACTGTCTTTGGTATAATATGACTGGATGCTGACGTTGCTCTGAGGGATACTGATGTTCCTCTTTTTTCGACTTTCGCGTCTCTACGTTGGGTTTACATGCACTGTGTTGACGACTGATTAGTGTGTGTTCCATGGTTTGGGTTAGGTGATCACGCTCTAGCACTGACGTCCGATTACTGTCTGTTGTACGGGGGTGGGCTATGTTATAGTGATTCCACACTGACGTTTTATTTCTATTTGTTGCAGGGGGTTCGGCTTTGTCACCTATAGCGATCCGGCCAGCGTAGACAAAGTATTAGCGGACGGCACGCACGAGCTAGATGGCAAAAAGGTACGTGACAACCACTTCTGGCCGGCGATTGTGACGTGCGTGGTGTTTTATGTGCTGATTGGTGCCTGGATTTGCGTTCATAATGCTGCAGTCATTCGCTGTGATTTATTTTCAGTGAGCGCGGCTCGCAATGGATGAAAAATGAACATATTCTTATTGAATATTTTGATAATGTAACGATGCGAATATTTTGATAACGTAACCACCTTTGCCAAAAGAAAGTATTTCTATTTAATTTATCGTTAACAATGGCTGGTGCGACAATATTTAAAAGTAACTCAGGTTCCCACTTCAAAATTATGAAAGTCGAAACGTATTGTAACCGGTGTTATAGATTCAAAAGAGAGACGTTTTTGCATTATTTTGTAATTTTGACACTTGTGGCTTGAACACTGCCATAAGATCATTTTTGAATGCAGTGAGCAAAGGTTGAACTAGTACAAATTCCCTTGAATCATATCGATGTTGTATCGGCCAGTTGTCCGTCTTGTGTCATGTGGTGCCGCCGCACACTGCGCTGTGTACACAGCTGCCAATAGATACTGTTGTCTAATCAATGGCTAATGCGCGCCAGACTTGTCCGTGCCTTCCTTTGCTCATGGTAGGGCTGCCTCAGTGACCTGTGAGGTTCTACTCATTACCGGGGCTCACCATTTAGAACCCATCATGACGTCATCGGAGGGTGTCACCATCTGTTCACCGGGTCGAAATGACGTCAGCGAAGGCATGTGCCATCATCCATCACAATAATGATTATAATCGGCACGCTGAAAAATTGATCGAGCAGCTGATGCATAGATAAAGCCGCCACTTTGCCAGTGACACATTTTCCCAACGGTCGGTGTCGGGCGCGAAATTACTTTGTTCGATATTGTTCATAACCGTGGGAAACGTCAATTATCGGCACAAAGCGTCCGAATGGCTGCTGTTTGCCAGCCCATTCAGCGGCGTGCTACCAACTGTGGAGCCAAAAGCGCTTCCGCTGTGCAAACTTCGAGCGACATGCAGCGCAAGGAGTCGTCGTTATTTAATGTCACGCCCCGTTTTGTTCCAAACACGCCGTGTAAATAATCGTGATGATGCTCGTTTATCTTCGCTTGTTGAGTGAAAAGATATGCGAGGAATGGCGTAAGGGAAGAATGGCAGATGTCGAATGATGCTCAAACACGTCTACTAAAATAGACTCCCTTATTCGGCTTGCGTCCGAATGAGTATCGATCCTGCAATGCTCCAATGCAGTGCAGCAATGCACATTCAAAATGTTGGTGACTTGCCGTCCCCTTCTATCAGGAAACCAAAATTTCTGCGATATGATTCGGAAAACTATACTTTTCTTATGATTAGCAATAGCAGCGCTTGTCCGGTGAGAGTTTTGGAATATTGTTCAAAAGGAACGTTAGCCTGATAGTGATGTCATAGAGCGGTTATTTGCCCCTCAGTTGACTACCCCCTACCCCAATAACTCACTTCAGTGAGCTGTCCGCACACACCACAGCGACGGTTGCACCTGTCCTGAGCGGTAAAACAGCTCACCCACGACCGAGTGTAGGGCGGTGGCCGTCGCCAGGGCTCAGTCGAGGAAGGAGGGCGGCGGGGTGACCTGTAGGGGGGGGACGGGGGGGGGGGCGACACACCTGCCTGCGACGTAATCAGTACCGTCGGCGTCACCGATGAATCGGTGCCAGTCGTCTGTCCGCCCGGGTATAAATAAGTCAGCCACCGCCGCCGCCGCCGCCGCCGCTGACGACGACGGCGACGACGACGACGCGTCGGTCGGTGTCCCGAGTCGCCGGTGTCGCAGGCGACGAACTCTTGGGGACCCACACAGCACTCACTGACATAGGGCGTGGCTTGGAATCAGGAAAGGGGAGATTTTGGGGCAGGTGTTTTAGTTATATGATGTTAGGGATAGAAAATTATTAACTGATTTATATCTGATTCCTTATGATGTCATAGCATTCATGGCAGCTTCACATTCATATAACTTTTACGACTCAACTTTAAAAGAAAACGCGGTTGCATTTAATTTACTTACTTTCTCACAAAATAAATCCATACATGTTGAACAGCTAGGTAAACGTTCTACACATTTACAAATTGTATTGCATTTAAGCATAATCATATTTATTTTGTTGCACATCCCTCAGTCCGTCAGAGGCATCATTACCCACAAGTTTCCCAGTCCCTGAGAGGCCCAGGGCGGGCCAGGTGTCAGACTGGAGCGGACTGGGGCATCACTTCCCACAAGTTGCCCAGCCCCTCACAGGCCCAGCGCGGGCAGGTGCCGGCTACGTGACGACGACAATGACACGCCGAATCGAACGGCCGTTCAAAGCAGCTGCGCCGTCGAGTGCGCCGCTTTGTTTCGACATTCTTTTGACACGCTTTCGACGAGCGTCGCCTGTGTAGAACCTCGTGAGCGGCGCCTGGGCGTGAAAGGCCGCGAAAGATTACGGAACGACGCCTCGTTCCGCGGCAGCTGGCGACTGAGGTGTGATAAGCGGGCGCAGCTCGCTCTGATTTCTACATGTTTCTCGTCGTTGCTTGTGCTACGCTTGGAGCTTAGATTTAATTAGTTCCTGCTTCCTGCAAGTCTGTCTAGTGTCTGCCTGGTGTCTGTCTAATGTGTCTGACTGGACTTTCTTGTCTGTCTTCCAGATCGATCCCAAAGTGGCGTTTCCAAGGAGAGCGCACCCAAAGGTAAGTTTCCGTGAACTTCACGGCCCATTTGGTCTCCCGTGACCCGTTGACATTCGGTGCACCCTCCTCCCCTCTCTTTTCCCCACGGGCACGACACCCTGTCTCCACCGCTGTGCTGGCGTGAACTGCTCTGTCGTGCCGGGCTTCGGGCTAGCTTCGGTCACGGGTCAATCCCGACTGGAGCAAACCATAGGAGGAGTGCCACTTGAGACGAGAGACTGAAATGAGATCTGAACAGGCCCCTGTGCGGCTCCAGTCCGCGCGGATCACGTGCCCCCTCGGCGTGATAGAACGGCGTCGTTTGCTGTTCTTGTGACGTGGTGATGCCTGTCGTCTGCGCCAACAAAAACATGTCACTGGCACCGGATGGCTTCTCACAGACAGGGTAGACCCCGGTGGGCGACTGAGGCGCGGGGTCTGTATTGTATGCCGGTGCATGCAAAGGTGGAGTTTCCACAGCTGTTCGGCGCTCCAGTTTGGCCCATGGGTGGATCTTTACAAGGCTTCTGTTGTGTCTGACTGTTGTGTCCTACATGGCCGTTGCTTGTCGATGCTGCATTTGATATTGTGTGGTCGATGACTGCGAAATGCACAGGTGTTTGTTGCAGGGGCGGATCCAGAAAATCTCCAAGGGAGGGGCCATTAGAAACCAGGAGGCCCCCATAATCCCACCTGTTGGAGGCCCCATCTTCCCACTTGTTGGGCCCCCCCCCCCAAAAAAAAACTGCGTCTATTGAGCTTATCTAGCTGTTCAGGCAACATCTCAACATGAATAGCCACTTTATTTTCAGGAGGCCCCCTTTTCAGCTTTTTAACTTTTTATTTTATTTTGGAAAAAAAAATCGGCCAAGGCCCCCATGGCCCCCCCCCCTTGTATCCGCGCCTGGTTTGTTGTCTGCCTTCTGGTCATCAGTGAGGTGGCGACAAATTGGAGCATCCGTGACATTTGTACAGTTGTAGCGTTCTTTTTCACGAGCTGTCACACACCACGGTTGGGTGCCGTGCGGCGGAAAAGTGACGCGTCGTGCGCTGACCGTCACGCGTGACCTGGTGTCACGTGCTCGCGTGCTTCGCCGCGCCCACGGGCTCGTGACGATGTGTGGTCACGCTCTTTTAGCCATCCGCCGCCGTGAGCGACCGCCGCGCCCCTGGCGGCTGGCTGTGGAACTACTCACTGCCGGCAGCGGCGACTGACAGTGACTGAGACGGGAGGTCGGGGGTTTACCGTGGCTTTTCAGCTGCACAGAGAAAAGCACGGTGACCTCTGAAGCTTGTTGAGATTGAGACATACCAATAACATTTGTTATTCGTCACTATGCTCATTTTTCCATTTCATGCCGGTAAACTGGCGAAAAGTCGCCTGACCGTTGACAGCCCGGCGTACCGATTATCGTAGGACCTATTCCACTAACATTTTAAAAACGACTAATGTTCTTTATCCATCTATTAGCAGCTATTTCAATATGTACATACCATAGCATGCATACTTTACTGAATATGCCGTATCGCTGCATCAACAAGCAGACCTAAGAGTTCACTGAGCGAGACCCTTTTCTCGAGACCATTTGCATGCATCTCGCCTGGCGAATAGACGTCATGAACCGTTTCCGGCCATTCTACATGCATGAATTTCACCGTCTAGTACATAGCGCATATTCCGCTAACGTGGGCCGTTGTCGTCTGTCAGTTTCGTGCAGCGGCGTCCGAAATCTTCGGCTCGCTCTGTCGCTCAGCGACTGGTTCGGCCACTGACGGAGAGCTGACATTATGGACATGATGGATATCGCCGTAATCCGTATATCTGCGGCGAATGGCGCGCCGTCGCCGTCACGGACATTGTATGGCTGCAGCGGCCGTGTTGAGAAAGGTCTCGATGGCGGAATGCTCTCAGTGGCCACATTGGGAGAGGGCTGAGGACCGGGCGGTCGGTTTCAACCCGGCTCGATGGGAGTCGTGAGTCTCGGGGACGAGGGTGAGCTGAAAGCAGCTGGTGTCTCCAATGCTGCGCAGTTGTTCTGCTTTTGTTCAGCAAGTTGGGCTGCTTTTGGGGCGTATGTATGTTTATCAATGGGCGCGGCACTTACCGCGATGGAACCGCTATCAGCAAATGATTTCCACTTGCTATCGTATCAAGAACTCTGCCGCTCTTCAAGGTCAAAATTCGTGGTGCATAATCTCTAACTCCTTCTTCAGATCCCTGCTCCTCTCCTCGACAGCGCAGTAGCCCACAGCCCTTACCCGTCCGTCTGGTGCACCAACACACCGCCACCGATCTGAGCCCGCTGAGAGGGTCGTAAATCAGCGGATTTCTGCGGTCAGCTGACCTGTCCAGCGCCGAACCCATCTCCGGGTGCGAATCCGGCTTCGCGCCTGCATCGACCGATCTATAAACTAGTCGCTATGGTGCCGGTGACAGATACCTCTGCCGGGGTGTAATAGGTATGAGTACTGCTTCGGGGCTCTGGACATGGGGCTCGTGTCCCGGATCTACCAAAGGAGCTATCCCCAGGTTCATGTGACCGCTCTCACTGTGATGATGATTGCAGCCTTCTGAAATTGCTGACTGTTCGATCATTGAGTTTTCCCCTAAGATATGATGTTTTGGTTTTATCCCGTCTTAAACTTAACGAAACGATGCATAGGTATATGCACATTGGAAGTATTGATGCACGACTAAAACCTCTCGCTTGTAAAGGCCTCCTAGCCCTCTCCTAGCCTCTACAAACGTGTTACAATGGCTACCGACCTCATGTAACTCACCTAACATCTCTATGCAAAGCAACCGGTCGCCAAGTCCATAATTCCATTTGTCAGACACTCTAGCCAACAGGACCCAACTGCCTCTGTGTTAACCGCTCACCGAACCGGTTCTGTCTGCCGTGCCCTGCGCCCGGGATGACGGCGTCATCGGCCGAACGTCATCGCCTGCGGCACGGTGACTCTCCGATCGTATCTCCCCCTCCTGCAGAGTCGCCGGCTGCTACCGCCCGGCGCCGGTTCGTCAGTGGCGGTGGTGTGAACTGTGAATTTAACGGTGGCTGGCATTGGTCCCTATGTGTCCTCTGAGGGCGACGGTTTGATGATTTTGGTTGATGGGATGGGAGTGAGGGTGGCGTTCCTCGCGCCGTGAAATAGCCGATGACTTGTTTGTAGATTCCTTGTGTCTCGATGTGGAGGCTTGAGAAGAGGATTCACCTACATGACCTCTGTTCCGCGAGGGATCTAGCCCATGGTAGCTCATGGTAGACTGTAACGGTCAGCTGTCGATTGGCATGGTATTCGCTCGCCTATCTGGAACATTCCGAGGCTAGCCTGTATGTTTGACCCCATAACTGCCAATATAAGCATCATATATCTTCCACTGCGCTCTGGCGAATTCGACAAGTGATAATCTGGTTTACCTTGGCCCCAATATTCCCTTTCCCCTCTGGACCGATGACCGAACATGAATAGACAAATCCGTTAGACCGAGGAGCATGCAAAAGACATAATTTCAGTTGCTTAATAGCTGGTCAGTGGTCAATCTCTCCGAGCTGGGAATAAGTTGAGATACATAACTAGCACTATACATAACTAATTTACTAGGCCACGGCGGTATGCCACTGCGCGTTTCCGGGTCGCTTCCAGCGGGCGTCTTTTGTTCGCTCGGCAGCGGCGATCTTCGGGCGATGATTTCTCGGTCTCCCGTCGCTGGACCACCCTCCGAGCGAGACGGGGCGAGGCGCCCGGCCAGGTCGGTCGCTTTCCATCCCCTCCTTCCCATCTGGTGCGCGCTCCACCCACTCGTCTCTCCAATCACGCGCCCTCGGCGGCCGTAATTGTTTCTTACCGGCGCGCCGAACAAAGGCCGCATTACAATCGTTTGTGATAAAGTGTTCTCCCGGGCGGCGCTTCCGATTGCCGGCCGGTGCTCGGCGCGCCCGCCTGACCCGGCTGGAGTGGAGAGCGGCCCGGGCGCGGCGCGGTGCGGTGCGTCCCTCGACGACCTCTTGTGGTAGGAGACGCTCTGCGGAGACGGGACGCGGCCTCCCCACTGATGACTACTCGAGTGGCAGCTATTGCGCCGCCAGTCTGCCCGCAGAGTGGACGGACACGCTCGTTATTGTTGCGCGGCATTGTCGCTCCAATTTGCGGCTGGGCGAGCCGTGTTTGTCGGTGTTTGCGCACTGTCGACCTGTCAGCCTGTCCCGCTCGCAGCCTGTTTGCCCGTCCGACTTTCCCCGCTCCTGGAGGCTGACATCCCCCAGTCCGCAGTCGGAGGCTTACCGAGGCTGGTGCTCGCCAACCGCAGGCCAGCGGCTTATGGCACACGGTGATTGGCAGGCCACGTCACTGTGTTTGGGGGCTGAAACATGAAGAAATGTTATATTAGCTGCTGACTGGCTCACTTTTGGGGGAATTATTTTAGAAATATTTAGTTTAACTATTACTTGCTTAGATAAATTTTAAGTCAGTGTATTTTCAGCTTTGGTCAATTTGCATTGTTTTGAATCTCTATTTTTTCTCTTGGTTAAGTCAAGCAACTGAAACCCAAGATCAAATTGAAGCCATTATTCAGCTCCTGCCAATAGCATTGGCCCAATACCATTTGTCAAAATTACCGAAGTAAACTGTTGAGAAGAAACAGCGATATTCCGGAGCTTCATGTTATACATTAGTCCATGTAAGTACAGCACCTCATGCCGCAATTGCCCCCCCCCCCCTCGTCCACGTCATACTAAGCTGTGCGCTCGGGGCTGCGGTCGCTCCATTTGGGGGTTCGGGGGCTGCGGCCGCTCCATTTGGGGGTTCGGGGGCTGCGGTCGCTCCATTCGGGCTCGCTCCCGTCTGATTCTCGGGCGGTTGGTCACGGTGGCTGGGCGGCTCCCTCATCCGACGCCCGGGAGATGTGCCATCGGTCCTCGGCGCTTCTCAGGGGTGACAGATGCGCTCATTTTTCCCACATCGCATTAGCATATCGAACCGGGCTCCGTGGCCCGGCCTGGCCCCGGCTCGCCATA